CCTATTGTTCTTTGCCAGCCTAAATAGGTTCTTATATATTTGGGTATTAAAATGCCCAATTTCAGCCTGTAGGTTCTTAAATCACTAGGTTCTTATACGCGGGTGTTTACTGTACTCTATCTGTGGGCACGTGTGGGCTGACAGGCCGACTGACCTTGGAGGATTAAGTATCTTCAAGCAATACCTTTTACACGACTCCCACCAAGGTCTTGTGCTACCAATGAAACACTCGACTTTCAAGAACTAACGTCAAAACAGGAAGTTTAGTGGAGATTCTACGCAGGGTCAGCGGACAAACCCCAAGCAACAACACCCATGGAGTTTATTTTTCGAGAATTATACGATTTATCCACGGTCACGGTCAAGGGCGAAAAAACTTGCAGGCAAAAACTACATGGAAGATTCATGTGTTTCCATGCGGGCCCTTGAAACTCCAAACTAAATAATTATTAGCCCGTGAAGCTAAAACGAACGCAATCCCAAAAACATACATCGAACTCAGCTGACAACTGACAAGTCACAAAAGTAGTTTGATTGACAGATGACGATGGCGTTGCTTCATATCAAAACATGCTGTCAGTCGTGAGTGATATTAATAGAGATAATGCCTGTATATTAAGACTTAAAAATCCATTTAAACAGCCACTTCCATAACTACGGTAGAGAAGAGGAAGCATTTCAACAAGAATACTCCAGGGCAGGAGAAGAGAAGACCCGACACTGAAATCAAAACGAAGCTCAATCTAAATTCAAGTAAGCGAAATTTTCTTCAGTTTCAGTTTTATTGCAGAATACGAGCAAGCCCCGCCAAGAACGCGCGAGAAGGAAAAGTGAAGCTTTTTCTTCCGCTCATTTTCATTTGCTTTTATTGTACCTTACTCGCAAAAATTGAGAGCCATGAAATTAAGTCGTCTATGAACCTTCAGACATCGAGGAACAAGCGTTCGCCCTATTATCCTTTATAATAAATCTTACACATAAACAGATCAACGGTCGCACAAGAAGAGAGATTCGACGAGTTTCCACGCTCTGCGCTTCGATCCCCGCTTGAATTCACAGTCCCCTCGCTTAGTTGATAAAATATTCAAATACATAACAAGCGTGCATTTCGATGCAACAACTAAAGATCGTTTCACGTGGAGGGATCAAGCTCTAAAATGTAAAACTAAAAAGCCAACAAAGCGTTTTTCCTCATCAGACATAACTGGTGATAAATTTATATCTGTAAGCAACTTTTCAGCCCAGTTAAAAAATTGCAGAGTTACGGCGGCGCCTGATAAGATATATAAGATATATATATATTCATCTCTAACTGTTACTGTTTCGGCCTTCTCGGCCTCATCAGGGCAGTGCTGATTCTAGGATGGAGGAGAAGCCATATCGTCACCCCAAACTATCTCACACTTGTGGTACCGTCTAAGCCATGCCAGAGTGCTAAAACTAGTGAACATTCATCTCGTGATTTTTAGCCGCTTGGGAAGTTTAAGTAATGGGAAAACTGTTTGGGTAAATGTCCGTTTGTCCAGTACAGATAATTAGTGGCCTAGATAATTAAGTTCCCGAGCAAGTTTCAGATGTTTACACCATACTTTCTGGCCGCCATATTGGTGGACGAAGTTAACATTATTGTTGTTAAAAACAAAAAAACAACAAAAAAATGAATGTATAATAGTACAATCAATGATGATTGAACTTTATTCTACATCCTATTGACGACATAGCAGGTGTCCATTCTACCAAAAATGCTAACACCAACGAGTTTCCAAAAAAAAATCCAAAAATCGCATCAGATGTGATCATCATCTTTGATAAGGAAACGCTCCACCAGCAAATCTTGGGGCTGCAGACAGGAACGTGTCAGCGAGTCGGTTGAAGTTAATTTTTATGTTAATTAGAACACGCACAAAACGTCTCACAATTAGACTTTCACAAAAATTAATGCTTCCTTAGAATTAAAAACAGCAGCTGCAAAAGCAGCTGTAAACATACCGAACTTTTTTCGTGCCCATTGAGATGTGTTTTACAACATGATCGCGAGAACTCAATGCTACAAGACAAGCTTGTCAATCATTTAAGTAATTGAAAACAAGAGAAGACTTTCATGTTAGATGACTAGAGAGGGATATCTTACCCAAATGTGTTAACTTAAACGCTGTCCAAACCTTTTCACGTTTTGTATATGACGAATTTTGAAGCTATTGCTTATCATGGGGAAGGAGTACATTTTTGGGATTTGGTTTTTGAGCAGCAGAGTAAGACAAAACGAAACTGGCAAGTAGGAACTGTTCCTCCCGGATAAATTTTCTGAGAAGATTTTTAACTTCCAGAATTATAACTCTTGCGCCATAGCAAATTGTAACTGCCACACAACTACGGACGAGCAAAACTTTGGCTATGTACCAAGCTCAAAGATAAATAAGAATGACCGCTGCAACGACAGTTTAAAGCACCACAATGCAACTTCTGCAAACTATTAAGAACTCATTTCTACTTTAATATACATAAAACTACTTTAGCACTTGTCCGAGTACTTTTAAGTAAAAGATATGGAGAGACGCAGGAGAGGGTATTGTTTTTACTAGTATTTAAAAGTTTCTCAATGACATCGCCTTTGAAAAACAACTTAAATAAAACATTATGGATGACACGCGGCAGAAAGATGCTAATCAACAGAATGAAAATTACACTGTATTATGAATATCAAAACAGTCCGGCTTATTAATAATTAGCCAATCCATAAGACGGCTTTTAAGAACAACTTTAGGTAAAGAAGGGTGCTTTACAATCAATCATCTACAAATGGCTCCATATTCATCACAAGACGACGCTTATCATTGCAGTGCTCAAACCACTTGTTTTGACAGTGCAGGGGCGGCGGGGCTTTTTATACACGCTAGAAAACTTGCAATGTTTTTCTACAGAAGGCGACGCAAAGTAACCCAGTGCGTCTTCGTAACACTTGTGGTACATTATAGAGCACAGGAGAGACGTCTAAAACGTTTTCGTGTCATACCACGAAGTCAGTCATCCTTCTTAGTGTTCTTGATCTTTATATTCCTAGAAAGCATACCGTGTTCTTATGTCTTCTAACTTCTTTGACACCTGCCAAGCAAACAAGTCAGTTAATAAGGTAGAAAAGAATAACAATTCATGTGCAGGTTGCTTGGTAAAAAAACAACCGGCTTCTTTCACGAGATAAGAAACCCACATCGTTCAGTCAGTACACTATTTGAGAAAAGAACTTAATAAAAACATAATTCTGACTTTACCTCGGCTGGTGTGCGATCAAGTTCTTCTGCAATGCTGCGCCGCTTGGAAGAATCCAGCGAATTAAAATATTCACAGAGATCGCCATCAATTACGCTCTGAAATACAAACATGGAAGAAAATAATAACCTCCTACCAATATAAAGCAAACATCGCTCTACTTCTGCTGTTGAACTAGTCGACATCGAGGAATCACAAGCCGGTAAACTGAATGCACTAAAAACAACCCAATTCACCTCCTCCACGCTCTGAGATTCGAAGAAACAGGAACGACGATACGTGGTAACAAGTAGAGATCGTAAGACTGTTTTTATTTAATTCTATGATCGCATAGCTTGCAATGGGTAATAAATCATAGATGACAAGGCTACAGGTGAAACGAGAAAAGTAGTTTTTTTTTCCTTCCCTTTTACCTCCCAGTTCACCTACCGCTCACTAGCTACCTTCTATCCCCTCATAAAAAACAATAATTTATTCTCTTCAGATTTTGCATTTATGGACCACTCTCACAATATAAGTCTTGCACAACATAGTTATTTTTTTCTGGAAAAGCATCTGACCTTGACTGGCATGTAGTAAGATCTGTACGACAAATGATCTCTGCCGCAGAGAGACGGTTGTTCTGCACGCAAATGCATCTCAAGGTGCTGGAAAAAGTCAATGTCCTGAAAAAGAAACCAAGACGGCGCTCAGACGAAACAAAAGTGACTTAAACGTAATAATCATTCTCAACATCAGCTTGAAGCCGTATCCTCCGAAGGGTAGGAGGTAAGTTGCGATTTCTTGCAACGTAGAAATTACCAAAAGAAACGTCATTAAAATTCGATGACCACAGTACAAAGCAACAATAGCTAAGATTGGGAAACAATGGGACACCCGAAAGGCGATCTTGGAGAATTGATCGGTGTAAAGTGGAAAGCCAACTTGGTTAAAGTAAATAAATAAAAAGGTGTTTTTAAGTTGAAGAACCGAGAAAAGAAAAGTTCAAGTCCCCATGAAATAATTTAGTCCCCAAAGTGAAATTACTGAAGATGCGCAATCATTAACACAAATCTACAGCCACTATTCAGTTACTACATGACTGCTCACTACAGGTTTCACTCTGTAAAGCTGTAATTTCAAGTTTAAACGAGGAAGCATTAGGAGATCTTTACCTCTCTTGATGTAAACGGCACTAGCATTCCAATACCTCCTGACAGGGTGGTGTAGACTAGAGACTCTGACCCTCCAGGGATGAGCGTCGCTTTCTGCAGAGACAGGACTGTTTCACCCACGTGGTAATTACACAACGTCTCCACCTGTGGAAGGAAACAGTGGTATCACTCCAGAAAATACCGAGATTATCGCACAAAATGACGTAGTTTGACTGGGTATTGTTGAGATAAAAAGTAATCTCATTGTGAAGTTACTGCATTTTTGACGAAAAAAAAAAGCGAAATTATCTATTGCATTAGGGCTAAGAAAAGCCTCGCAATGGTGAGAACTAGCCGACGGAACTATAAAAAGGAACAAACAAACAGAAAGACAAATTTTTCATGTAAAGAAAATTGGTCTTACCTTTTGAGGAGCGCCATTTAGAAGTCCCCTATCCCAAAATGCCTTTGTGCCTGTAGGGTCTTCGTCAATCTCATCAGTTGTGTTGGCCGTTAGGCGAACCTTATGAAATAGCAAAAAACGGAAACACTGACTAAGTGTATTTTAACTACACTAGATACACGCAAACATTATACAGTTTGACCATATACTTCCTGGGGAAAGTGATAAACTAAGGCCACAGTAGTACAGAGGCCATATCAACCGGACGTCTGTAAAGCTGACTCTATGGAGGGAAAATCTAGCATGTGGATGTCTCCACTAAGTTTCTTACCACCAAAAACATAAACTCTTACAACCACTTGTCAACCGCAACAAATCCTTTTTTTTATTTTATGATCACGATGACGATGACGATGAAAATCATGTAAGTGATATACTCACCACAAAGACATTACCAAACTTATCTGCACCCGCCACTGTATCGTAGTCCACGTAGCTGCTGCAGGTTAACCATCTGAAAAGACAATAAATTTCGTATCAGTCTACTAGTGCTTATTAGTTATGACTATTATAAATTGAACGTCAGTAGTCTATTGTGAATCCGTGAATTTGATTGGCCTCATTGTCGTTTTCTATCCGCTGATAGAAAACAGCTGTACACGTAATTTTTTCCACATGCGTCAGTGCACGTCGCGCACAATCATAGCGCGCAGTTTTTGAAACTCTTTGAATTGCCTGATGCAACACAATAAAACAGAACATTTTTATGCCATAACACTGGGGCAAATTTATACCAAAACAATTAGGCCACCCGCCCTCGTTTTTTACAAGCGATAGCCTAGTGTTGACTATCTGCTCGCAGAAAACTTGGGAACGTAGTCTAATTATTAATAAGACTGACAGTGGTCTATTGTAAGACTTCTCTTGAGAATTCCACATGGTTGTTTTTTAAACGGATGTGTTATTAACTTGCCGTAATACCCGCCACATTTCATAACACAGTTAAGGGGTCTCGCATAAAAAGCTTTATTGTGTTTGCTCCATTTCTAGGCTTTCCTGGAACATGTAAAAATGATTCACCAAGGAAATTGCAAACTTGTAGTTACAAGACGTACAAACAGAGCCGGAAAAACATGAAAGCTTCCAACAGCCGAGGACTTAAACGCATTACTCAGAACTCTACTGCCGCAAAGAATACGCAGAGGTGTGCATTCAAAATTAGCCCACAAAAAGAAACTCATTTGACTGTCTAAAAGCCTTTTCCTTTTCTGACAAGGAAATTATGGCAGTTACAGAACACTGCCATTAACTAAACGCAAGAAACAATTCGTCAGAACGGTAATGGATAACTAGCTAAAAAAAACATTTGTTCTATGCCACTGAACGTTCTCTGTATTCGATAAACTGAGTTCTAATACATGACGACTCGCAGTCGTCGTTAAAAAGGGAAAAGAAAAGGCACTCGACTATTTAGCGAAAACGATCCAAGAACTGACTATTGCAGTTGATTATAATTGAAACATAAAATAAAGTGAAATAAGTGGTACCATCTGGAGTGAACTTAAGTGCTTTATCGTACGAACATTAACTCTCCAGGCCCCTGGTGAGATTTACCGTCGAAAAGATGAAAAAATCTATTTTGTCCCTGTGCGGTTTTGTGGCGGTTTAACTCCATTAAGGAAAAGTGAAAATGGAAATTCTACTTTTGTTGACTTGAGGGAGCAAATGCATGTAAATTGCTTTAGGTTTGAGGCACGGAAATTTGAAAGATTTTACGCAAACAATGGAGTTTCCTTAGATGTCTGGTCAAGAGTTGAAACACTGCTTTTTGAAAACTAAACGTCTCACAAAACAAACACGCGGTAAATGAAAAAAACACCTGGGAAGTGCTTGTCGCAAGATGAAACAAGGATAGCAGATATGTCCTACAGGAAGACAAAATACAAAGGAGAAAATAAACAGTTTCTCCTGGAGGTAAAACGAATATTTAAAATATACGTAATTTTATTCTAACTTTACAAGCCCTGTATGGACTCAAGCCTCTATTTTTGGGTCAATTCCTTCAAAAACTCAGTTCGGATATTTTGTGTCCCGAGAGTCACTTCAAACGGATGATTAATTTAATTTTGATGTTATGTCGCGTTGCTAACTTACCAATTAACCACATACATTGGAGAAATGTCCTTACTGGCTAACTTGTGCACTCCCTGGAGTGAGTAATTGCAATTCGCAGTTGGTTGAACGTCTTGCAACGCTCAAAGTAATATAACTCTCGGCAGGATCTGCTTAAAACTTCACAAAAAAAGGCAGATCTTCTAGATGCACAGAAACGGAACGGAATAATATGTGACTTCGTATATATAGTTACAAATACCGATGACACACGCAAGGGTAATAGGATACAAACAAGGTGAGAGGGCATTTTGAATGTTACATATTTCGCCTGAAATTTCAAATGAGAATCGAATTTTGAAAATAACTCATCTTTCGAGCTTGTTACTACAACTACAGCGTCATTTTGTTACGTTAAATTAAAAGTTTTAAGTTAAAACACATTTCTTCATCGCGTTGAAACACGAAATCTACGATACAAATGACTCTTATTACCCTAAGCTTCGATAGCTTTAACATTGAATATATGGCAGTTTTAAAAATACCGCAAACAAATCCCGTTTAAAATACCTTTCGAGACTGTTGGACAAGGACCAAGAAAATATATCACACTATAGCTTAAACTAGCAGTATTTATTTTCTTAAAGAGAAACAAAAGCAACCTTTTTGGGCGTCACAGCACCTGTTCTTGCCAAAGTTATTAACGTGGAGTTCCATGTAAACATCGCCAAAAGTGAAATGAAATTTTAAAATTTAATCGGCGATAAAATTACGATATGTGTGATGATCAGCGAGAAAATAAAGGAAATAATTCATCCGGCTCCGCCTGACATCATAATGCAACTAAGAGGATAAAACTGAAGCCTTCTTTTCAAACAAAGGTGAACTGGTGCGCGCACATACAATTGTCACAGAATTATGTTTAAGTCGTTTCCAACCTCTGAATGCAAATTCTCCCAGCTGATTCCTATAAGTTTATTTCACTGTGTTTTGTGAGATTTTTGTGTTCATAAGACAATATCCCCGAGATACAATTTCATTAGTCTAGGAATCTGTCTGTTCGAAAATAAATTTATACTGTTAGGTAAAATACGATAAGGATTCAAAAAGTAAAGACTGAAATTATCCTCGAATCGTAAAGACAACAAATACTGGCGATTTAAAAACAGAGCGGAAACTTCACAGGTGATCGAGGGACAAACGATAAAACTATACAACAAAAATGTTCGTTCAGAAAAAAAAAACACTTTCCATAACTGTCAATTCTTCGTTGAAATATGACAGTCAGGCTACCATAAGATTTCGGAAAGGTCTACACATTTCTACAAGCGTCAATCGCTGACCTTAAAAAGAAAAATCCTTACTTGGACCAATTTTGAAATTTAATGTGTTTAGTAAAAACGTAGCGGGAACTGGAATGAAAGGTTTTCCTCCCTTTGCAAACAAGAAGCTAATGGAAAGAAAGCAAATTTTGTCAAGTGATTTCGATTATCTCGCATTATCTCGAAATGAACGCAACTTCCAAGAATAGCATTAATTTCGAGTAAAAAGAAGACATTATTTTTTGGCTCCAGGCAAAACGCGGCGAATCAGAAAGCTAGTACAAAAAATAAATCAATCATATTTGTTTAAATTCAAATCATTAATGAGTTCTTAAGAACATTTACAAGGCACAAAACCCGCAATGTGGTTGGTAGCCAAAACAAAGCTAAAAGTTGCATGACCTGTTCCCAAGAAACAGGATATTAGAACAAGAAAACAAATTTGACTCATAATTTCCACCGCACAAATGCGTATGCAAAAAGCCAGTGTTGCTCTCCATGACAATTTTATAGAAGACAGGTCTGTCCGTTTGAACTGACATACGAACATCGACAAATACGAGAACGATGCCAAGCTAAAAAAAAAAAAGGTTGCAATGAAAATTCGTTATTTAGCAGGAAGGTTGTTCCCTGAACACACTTAGAACATTTAATTTAGCCCAGTGTTTACTCATGACAAATAAGCCCTCTGATCTGTCTTAAGTAGCGATTCTATCAGGAGATAATAAAACAATTCAGGCTAATAGATTTGGTGTAACGACAATGCTTGGGGTGGCTAGCTTTCAGCAGGTTCCACACAAAAATATCACCATAATCGAATTATTCGTTAGCGCAAATCGCTTGCTGATTCAAACCTCACAGGATTTGTAGACATGCTTTTTTACATATACCACTGTCAAGAACAGCAGCACTTGACAAATGACTAATTTAACTAGGAAATGAAATATTCATGATTACCAAAGGCTTTTTTGGACCTTTTCAATAGATCGATCCCAAAAAGATATCAAACTTTAATGCACGTAGACCAATATATAATACCATAACTCAGGAAGGAAAAAATTATCTCCTATATTGAAACGGAACTGGTGTTGGCGAGATAACCCCACGTTCATTGTTATTCTGTTTTTAACATTATTATCAAAAATCTATACGTATTTGGCACAGAAAGTACTGTCTGGAGTCAAAATGAGTCACGGCGATGAATGAAATTTGATCAGCGCCTCAAAAGAACTGTCAACAAGCTTTGACAAGGTAAACACTGTTTTTAATTTTTTTGCATGGAAAAAATTGCCAACGAAGTGATTAGCGCCTATGCAAAATAAGGCTAAAATAACAAAGCTTGCACAGTGGGAAACTTGTACAGTATCAAACAACATGCATTTTACACAGACCGTCAGGTTCTAGCAAGTTCAGCATAATATTTGACGTCTTTATGTTCTTACGTTAACAGGGCATAAATCATTTCAAGCATCTCGCGAGATCACAGAAAAAAGCCGCTACTGAACGCAGCTGTCCACGCTAGACGATCTGACAGTGAAGAAACTGAAATTATTAAAATGGAGAACTTGAACGCTACCGGAAATTTAACGAAAAACGACGGAAACCATTCGAATGGAATGGAACCAGAGGAGTTACTGCACCAAACACAAGCCGGAAAGGCAATTATCGTGTTCTTAGCATTGCAAGGCGTCCTGATAATCTGTGCGAATTCCCTAGTGTTCCAGTTGTTTGCCAGCACCCGTTATTTACGAACAAAGACAAACTACTGTTTAGTAAGCCTGGCGGTGAGTGACTTTATGGCGGGGAGTGTTTCTCTGCCATTAGTGCTTGTTTGTTCCGCGACTCTTTCCCGGCCCGTTTGCACCAGTATGGATCTGTTTCACCGCTTCCAATCGATTTCAACAATCCTCCACCTGTTGGTTGCCACATGCGAACGCTATTTTAAGATTAAGAGACCGTTTAAGTATAACATCCTGGTGACAAAGCAGCGAGTGGTGATTCTGTTAGCCGGTGTGTGGATCTTCTCTTTAAGCGCTTCGTTTGTTCAGCTTACTTGGATTACAGGAAACCTGGACGATGAAACGCTGACTGAGTTCGATTCCGGCTACACTGCTTTCTGTTTAGTTGCACTAGCTTTCATACCGTTTTTCGTCATTGCTTGTATCGATGGCCACATCTTTTACTTCATCCATAAGGAAAAGAAAATGCGACGCGCGTTAACTCAAGGAACAGTGCTTCAGAAACAGGAAAGGCAGAAGAGGAAACAAAATGATTGCAAAGCGCTGATAATTTACGCGGTTATGGCCGTCACGTTTGTGCTTGGATGGTTCCCATACTTCATAATCTCCTTACTATCAGATTTAAGTTTCGACATGCATGTTCCTTTTACCGTGGAAATAATCTTACTGTTTTTGAAATTAAGCACAGCGCTAATCAACCCACTGCTATACACATTTTTTAAGACGGACTTTCGAAAAGCACTTCAGGCCATGCTAGAAAGAGATAACAGTTCAGATGGAAGCAACGAATTAATAACCACGACAGTTTAATTAAATAACACAAATCAAACACTGCTACGAGGAACGGAAACAAGCAAACTTTTTGAGCCGTTCAATTATTCCATTTTTTGTTAACAAGATTAATACAGTTTTTGGTTTATACATTGTTCCCTGATTATAACAAATTAAGATCTCGCATAATCATAGTGTTAACACTGCTGATCTCCAACAGATGGTAACGAATAGCAGTTGTGAAATTCTAAGTTTCAAAGAATAAATTAAACATGGTTTCTGTTACCTGACAGAGTTATGGTGTGGCTTGTACAATCCTGTTGGTCTCTATCAATCCAATTATGATGGAAACATCTTACTCACATTTAGATCTTTTTTCATATTCACATTATAGCAAACCATCGTTTTATAAAGACTCTCTTTGAGCGGAAAGTAATTTTGTTTCTGCATCCAAATTGATGTTTACGTCAATTACAAACTTTGTTTCAAAACATGATATATTGATCACGAGCCGCACAGCCTAGGAACGCCTCAACTCTTTTGTCTTGCATATACGCGATATTCGTTTTATTCAAGTTTGGAAAATGAACGATAAGGTGCTCAAAAGAACCATATCTCTACCTTCAACATGAGTGGCAAAGATCAAGATTAAAATAGGATATTTTCTCATAATCAATAACAAAAAGAGGTTTCTTCACTGGCAGAGTATCACTACATTGTTTCTTGAAAAATTTAACACTCAAGACAGATGGAACTTGCATTAAAAAACACGATACATCTACTGTTGTTAGTAGCTTCTCCTTGCTCGAAGAAATTAACCTATACACTTCTTATAGTAAGGAAAACTGTGAAATTTATCTCCCTCTGTACGAGCATTTAGGCAAGGCCTTTTTCAACAAACGAATATTTAACCACAGACTAAACTGCAACACCAGCTGTTGCCCCAACTGTGCAAGATACATTTAGTTGAATCAACAAAAAGACAAAGGAATTACCTTGGATTCACGTCATCTGCGAATATAACCAAATGGTTTTCTCTCGCCTTGTACTTGACGAAGTGAAACGACTCTTGAATGTCACTCACAACAATACGAGTTCCCATTGTATTGAGACCCATGATAAAGTTGGGCAGTTTCTGCAGGAAAAAAACACGAAGACTGAAACTACTACTTTTAAATGGCTTTACCAAAGATTTTCCGAAAGTAATTTCGGGAAATAAAACCTCCCCCTTAAGCTGCGCGCCTCTTCATCTGTAAATATCCTTAAGAACGCTTTGTACAAACATTTTAAATTAAGTCAGCTCAAGAATAAGATTTTTACTCCTTTTTTAAATAATAATTTTTAGATTGCGATATTTTAGTGATAATCTTTGATTATTGTATATAGTAGATTTTTAACTTTTAGTACATTTAAGAGGGCACAAATTTATTAGTTGATAAACTATTACGTGTCACCCTCGATAAATAAAGTTTTGATTTGATTTGATTTGATCTGTTTGCTTTTGCGTCCACTAAGCTCTAAAATTGGTTCACAAAACCTGTGAAACGTACTGTAGGAAAAGATTTTGTCTGGCAATCGGAATAGAGTCAGATGCCATCGTGATTTGGCTTGTGGCACTATTTTTCCCGCGCTTTTTCTATTCGGTTCGTTAAACTTACTGTCGGGGGTAGTGACTGGTCAATGCCTTACACGTTTGACCCAGGTCTTACTGTGAGACCAATTCAGCTCTACGTACAGCTTTAATTAATGGCGTCACCCTTTTTCAAAGACCAGATTGACGTTCAGATTAACCGGATTCCACTATAATGGCTGGGCAACGTGATGGAAAACCGCTGTAAGGTCTCGTCCACACTACACAGGAGGAGCACTATAATGTAAAGCCGGCGTTTTCAAATTCCTCCAGTTTGAAGAGCGTTTTCGAAAAGCCCCGTTTTCGTGACGGATTAGTGTGGACGGTAGGCCTAACCGTAGAAATAAAGCGGCATTTTCAAATTTCTCCGGCGAAGTGTGGACGGGGCCTCAGCCTGAGATTATGATTAATAAACAAAACGGAGTCTGAACACTTTCATCACAAAGTACCTTGTTTTCACATTTACGAAGAAGCTTCTTCTTGCCGAGGTCATAGATTCTTAACAGCCTACCAACACCAGCTAAAAGACGGCCCTGAAATTATATAATCAAGAAATATTCAGTTATCTCACGCAATAAATCATGGTCCCCAAGGTCAACGGTAATAGAAGAACTTGCCGAGGTGTGAAATGATAATCCTTCACTCTGACTAAACGAAAACCATTCAATAACTCAGATGAAACGTTACGCAAATGCTATCTCTGCCACATCTTGATTACAAAAAAAAAAACGTGCAATGACTATAAGGGGCTACATTCGACAGTGTTGGGTATCATTTGGTCCCCGAGCCTGGTGCTGACAGAAGTAACCACCACTGAACACATGGGTGTTTTTGGACTTCACGACAATTTTCGACTGGATATCTGAACAACCGGCTAATGCCTTCAAAGGCAGACAGTGCGATCGACTGGATAGCTGGAAATGCAGAAACCAGAGAAAACCAGAGCCTTCATCAAGGCGAAATTTGCCAACAAGTGTGACTGACATGCTGCCGGTATAAAAAACAATCAAAACTACCAACCTGAAATGGAGCGAGCGCTCCTGGGATATCATCGACCTCCGTCTGAAAAAACAACAACAACAACGAGTCTGAAAACAACAGCTCTCAAACGATTAACTAGTAAATAGAGACATGTTTATTGTTACTGCTTTCCATTCAGGAGTCTCGGATAGCAGTTTGTCTAAGTTGCTGAAGAGAGTATTTTAAAACGAGTGCTGACCTTGTGGACAAATTCCAGTTTGTATCCTCCATCAATAAGCTCAGCTATCTTGTACGTATGAATGAAGCCTCCTGCGCATGACCGTGGGTTCAATGTCAAATCCTTGGCTGTGCCGACTAACGCGTACGTTTCATCAGGCCGACACGTGAAATTACACACGCATACACTATGAAATAACAAACAGAGACTTAATTCTGCTAGTCTATTAACGAAGCCTACTGAGACATCTACAGATTTCTGTTAGACAAAGGCGATACCTGATGACATGAAAAGGACTACAAACAGGTTTACATACAGTAAACACATGAGCGTCTTTCAACACTTAAGGATTTATCGAAACGATTCTACACGACACAAACCTGACAGCAGATTCGTTCTGTTCCAGCCGCACCTCGTCAATTGTTTCACCCTGGAAATAAACATTGACGCCTTAATAAATGAGCCAGAAACGGGAAAGGGAGTGAGGGAAGAAGACCATGAGAACTCCGAAGAGAAGCGGGCATTTTTCAGCGGCAGAGAACATGCAGCGAGAATAAGACTTTCTTTCCTGAAAGGCACCTAACTGTACACTTAAGACGTTCGTTAAAACGTAGATAGGGTACATGCAGCAGTAAACGTGTGTAACTTGTATCATTTCAGCGGAATCTACTGCCTGCCGATGACCTTTCCAAAGAACCAGTCACGCTACCTCATAAAGACAGTTTTTTTTAGTTCATCTAGTGTGATCGTCCGGGTGAGGGTAGTTCTGAAAAGAACTGTTGTTGGTGACTGACGTTTCGACAACCTGAGCGGAAGTCATCTTCAGAGTCAAGTGAATAGTGTTTGTCAGTCGATGTTGTTGTAAACCCCTGGTTCGTTAAAGCTGATTGGTCAGTTTAGCCTCCATGGTATTTGGGCGTAAGACTGGTGATAGCCAATAGTCATTAGTCCAGTCTAGTAAGTTTCGACTCGTATATTGCTAGTCAAATAAAGTTGTTCTGTTTGAGGTCATCTGTAAGGTGCATTTAGTGGCATTCTATTCTCAGCGGTATTGCTAGAGCGTGGTTGGAGTATTTACCTTGATGGGGTCCAGCATTCTCAGAATGGAGGCCCACATTCCAGGTCCGGCTTTAGCAGCGCCGAACTGCTGCTCGGCCAGATCCTCATTAAGAAACTCGGCCGCCATTTGTGCTGCAAGCTCCTTCTCATCATCACCGGCTGCTTCCACCATTTCCTGACGAGCAGAACGAAGCATGAATGATCAAAATGTAACTTCTCTTCCAATTATCAACTCAAGGTCAAGAAGGAAGGTTAGGAGAGTTACGAAACTGATACTATATATTACGAAATTCTCCTAACTGCAACTGTTTCACATGTATAGGTACCCCTGTTTAAATGAGAATTTAACCCAGACTCAATAAACCAAATAGTTCAATATGGCGATGTTCTAACCAATAACTACAATACGTGTTACAAAGCGTGTTACGTAAGGTAAAACATTTGTGGCAAGGCAGCGACAACATTGTCTGAGTTACACACCTCGGCGATTTGCTGTTTCTTTTCTTCCTTGACTTTATCAGTGAATGCATTGTGATCGCTTTCTATGATGACTAAGTTGTTACTCTGGGGGTGGATGACAAATTTCCGAGGTGTGTACTGTAGAGAAGTGGCCACTTGATTAAACACCGCACCCAACTTTTCCAGCGCTAAAATCCTTTGAAAGAAAAACAACAGAATACATTATTTCGCCAGTTACTCCTCAAAAAATTGTTCGCAAGACAGAAAACGTCCCTAACTAAATTTCTAAAAAAATGCAGTTTAGGAACCTGCACAAGATAATACAAAGGAGTTTCAATGGTGTAAAAGATTGTTTGCAAACTTTCCAACGTATAGAGATGTATGGAGACGCTTTTTCAAGTTCAGCTAATTATCCATATTGCAGCCATCATTCTCCATTGTTTGTCATCCTCACTTCCAAACGGGGAGGGTGGGGGNGGGGGGAGGGCGGCGGTCATTTGTTAAGCACTGTTCTACAAAGTTAAACAAGTACTATGTTGACGAGGTATGTTTTGAGCTTTTGAAACAAGTTAACACACTTACAATCACATTGATCACATCATTTACACATCCAACCTCTACTGCTTTATAGTTCCCGTCTACATAGGTTAACAACATTTGAAGAACACTCCATACTAATCATCAAAGTACATAAGCTGAATTGTGGGAGGCGCGGTAGGCTAATTTTCAGTGCGGTTGAATCCGAATCGAGAGGTCTGGGTTTGAGCCCTGGACGGATCACTGTGTTGTGTTTTAGGGCAAGACACTTTTACCTTCACAGTGCCTCTCTCCCATGTTAATGGGTACCGGCGGATTGTTGGGGCAACCTAACAGAGTAGTAGAGAGTAACCCTGCGATGGACTAGCATCCCATCCAGGTGGGAAATATTAATACTCCTAGCCGCTTCATGCAACAGAAACCGGAGACAAGGACCAAGAACTATGAGCCAGTTGGGCATAAGAGGCTTTACTATTTATACGCCGTGTACGAGGCTCACCTCAGCGTGTTAGCAGAGATAGCTACAATTCCTTCAGGACACTGTTCAGAGGAGAAGCTGGAGGCGTATTCCAGCGTCTCGTAAGACAGTGGAGTAAGGTGGAAGCGAGACTGGTACGAGTAGCTCAGCCATGAACGACTTGACATGGCAAGAACCTGCAGAATACAACCAAAATATCAAGCACAACAAATAGTGACCCAGTGACCGACAAGGGTCAACATTTTGACATTGACCGACAAGCACAACATTTAAATATACGGCAGAAACGTGAAGGGGATAACGATGTACAAACGTTTTCCCCATGTTCCTATTGGAGTTATAGTGGAGAGCTTAAGTAAACCACGACGGCAACGGCAACGAGAACGTCACCAAACCAAAGGTTTAATGAGCAAAACAATAGCTGTGCACGTGCGTTATAAATCTTTGTACATTTCTTTGCAGTCCTCTGCAAAATGACAACGTGAAAT